AATCAAATCTCTTCTTCAAACGAAATCCAATGCATCGTATTTCATATATTCTTATTTTTTTTCTTTTGCTATCAGTTTCTCTGCCTGAAGTAAAGTAAAAAAAAAAGTACTGCAATCTTTTAGTCGATTTCCACGTGTTTGCAAAGGGGCAAGGAAAAGAACAGCCTTGTTCGTTCCATTAAGAAGTCGTCGAATGCTGCTGCAGGCTTTCAGCAGACATTTCCATGTCAGAAAATTTTATGTCTTATTTTTGCAATGCTGTGCACGTTTTTACCATTTGCAGGTTGTTGGTTTTATAGCATCTTCTTCTTCTTCTTCTTCTTCTTATTATTATTATTATTATTATTATTATTATTATTATTATTATTGTTGTTGTTGTTGTTGTTGCCGTTAGTATGTGTAGGTAGCTTAATGGTTAGCGGCTCAAAACGAAATGTCAGCGATTCGGGTTCGAATTCCGGCAGAGTCTGTTACGCCAATTTTAGCACAATTGCACTTGGCAAAGATATGAGATCACCTCTTCTCCCCACTGCAATAGGTGAAATCGCAGGAGAGGCTCTCTAGCCTTAGTTAACAACCAGACAAGCGATGGTGACTCGATGCGACTGCACATCTCCCTGGCTCACTCGTGGGGATGCGTCGGCCCGTTTAATATGCAAATACGAAAATGCTTAAGTCATGTGAGTTGTGCCTACTTTACACAAAGTACAACCCAAAAGGAGAATTGAAATAACTCTTAGATGTATTGAAGGAAAACAACAAGAAAGGTCTATTGACTGCAAGAGAAAAAGATTTTTAAGAAATCCCAAATATGAACTACGTATTGGGTCGTCAAAATAAATAATTTTTACTATCTGAATAATAATATAGAGATAGACAACGAAATATAGCACAGGAATGTGCATAAAAATAGCGAAAAATGCCTTCCAGAATCTAAGAAATTCAGAGATGTAAAAAAGAAAAATGGCGAAAAATGCCTTCCAGAATCTAAGAAATTCAAATGTGCATAAAATAGCGAAAAATGCCTTCCAGAATATAGGAAATTCAAAGATGTAAAAAAAATGGCGGAAAATGCCTTCCAGAATATAGGAAATTCAAAGATGTAAAAAAAATGGGAGAAAATGCCTTCCAGAATCTAAGAAATTCAGAGGAGTAAAAAAAAAAAAATGGCGAAAAATGCCTTCCAGAATCTAAGACATTTAAATGTGCATAAAAATAGCGAAAAATGCCTTTCAGAATCTAGGAAATTCAAATGTGCATAAAAATAGCGAAAATGCCTTTCAGAATCTAAAAAATGCAAAGATGCAAATGGCGAAAGAGGATGACAAACTATACTCGTTTGCAAGGTCTCTGATCTGGTGGTTTTGAGGAATGTGAAACCACCTCTTAATTGCTGTTGTCCCCACGTCCAGCCTGAACTGGGCATGGTAACACCTGATAGGGTCCCGTTTATATAATTTCTAATATAAAATCATGTCACACTTTTTTAACTATATATAATAATTTCTCTTACTTAAAGTACAAAACAACAATTTTGGGGGCCAATTTAAAAAACTTACCAGAAGTGGTTTAGACTTTTAATATATATATATATATATATATATATATATATATATATATATATATATATATATATATTCAAATATATATTGTTAAATATAGCAAACAACAAATGTCTACTATATTTGATCATGAGCCTAAATTAAAACTACTATACGAAGCGTAGAATCGCTTCATAGTAGATTTAGTTTCGGGAGAAAATAAAGACAAAAACTGTCTAACATTTAGATATTTTATTATTTAGCTGTTCCTCGATCTAAACTTTCGACTCACATGAGCCATCATCAGAATGCTTATATGGACATTACAACAGAGATGTTCACCATCAAAGATGACGTTCTGTTATGTTTATATAGAAGTCTGCTATGCAACAGTAACGGTCGCGGAATAGCAGACGCAAGTCGTAAATTCGTAATGGGGTTCTTTGACGTCATTTATATATATATATATATATATATATATATATATATATATATGCTGTCATTCGCCTACACGCCTGTTTCACTGTATCACAGCTCATTAGTGCAACTAGACAACCGAATGCTTCAAGTTAGGATCGAAACCCGACCGATTTGGTATTCTACCCCCAAGCCATCGGCGCTTCGGCAGATAGAAAAGATAAATTCTGGCGTATTGTTTTTACGAATGTAAACAAACGCCAGACAGTCAGAATGCTCTAATCATTAATGAAGAGTCATGCATTAACGCTGACAGCTGCTGTTCATAGAAATCGCCCATCTCTCAACAGTGCTCAACCAAAAGATTTTTTGAGAGTTATTATATATATATATATATATATATATATATATATATATATATGCCTGAAATTTTAAATTTCGGTTATAATAAACATTTTTTCAGATAGAATAAATTAACAGACGAATTTACTGTCAAGGTGTAACAAATGGCCTGAGTAATAAAAAGCATCATGGCGAGGCTCTAATTTGAATTTTGTTATAAGAGTAATACTTCTGTGGCCCCACGTCATATTTCTGTTAGATCATTTAGATGTTGACATAAAGCGGGTAATATCGTGTAAATTGATTGTTTTGTAGCCGATTGAGTTGTTGTTGTATTGCCCCAGATATATGTGCGTGTCCCACCCCCTGTGTTTTAATTCCTATAACCCTTTTCTTCAATCAAACTGCATTGCCGCTTTTTCGCGATTTCAGACTATTTCAGTGCACATGTACGAACCTTGACGTCAGCCTATGTGCACCATGCAATATGGAACAGGAAAAGCATTTTTTAAAATATCTTTTCAGTGTCTGCAATTGAGATGTAGAACGTTATAATATTGGCTGAAAAAAGTTACATTTCAGAGGCGTCTTCATTCTTCTTTCTTCATTTTATATCAAAGATCCAAAGGATGCTTCAATACAGACATTTTTAGCAAACTCAGCGAAGCAGACGACACTTTGAAGACGCCATTTTGAGTGACTTTTATTCATTCTTTTTTTAGCTTAATAAATAGAAAAAAAAATCTTTTTACATATTTGTTCTTTATGTTTCCAAAAAACATATTTCATCGCGTTTCTTTAATTACAAATTTCATTCAATTTTTTCTCCCCTTTTTGGAAGTAATTTCCTCTTTGTTTCCTATTCACTTAGAACGTTTGATCAATTGATAATAGTTTGAAAAATGAAAAGCAGGGAGTTCAGTTTAAAAAAAAATATATATAGAAATTTCATCCGTCGAGAAAAAATAAACAATTTCTTTTCGGCAAACTGAATATCTTTCATTTAATTAAAAGCAATATATGTGCATTTAATTTTCGTAATTAAAATTCACTCATGTAATCGATTTTTATTAAATCACTGAAATTTGCAACATTTTATTCTAAATTTGCAAATAGGAATTTCTTATTAAATTTCAGTCGCTTAATTTTCACACGTGTATTATTCGATAGTTAACACTGAGGAGTGAGAGAATTCAGATCTCAGTGTGTCAAGACAATCGTTAATATTGTGTTTTAAGTCACGTTGTTAACAGGATGAGCAACTCGTATTGAGGACATTATTTACATTATTCAGACTACTGTCCTCATCTTTGTCGCCATATTTATTACAACGTTTCGGCCGTTGTACGCTTCGGCCTTCTTCAAGTGACACATGGCACAGTGGATAAAGGCGTTGGTTAGATCCAGTGACAGAACCCAAAGAGTGTGAGTTCAATACCCGGCTAAGGCAGTGGAGAACTTTTAGAGGGAAAATTAACAGGAGATAACTTATAACTGACATCCATTAAACATGGCACGTGGAAGTAGAACAGTCGACCCCAATGAGCGAAATAAAGGGTTCAGTTCGACATTCCAACCACATGTAGATTGCGTGTATTAGTGTTATTATGGGAGTGGGGGGAATCGTCGTCGTGATGTCATCGTGCTAACGCAAACATAGATGCATGTTCATACGCCCGCTGAGGTACGCAGACACACATACACACTTGGTCGTCCGTCGGGACACATACATATATAAACATATATGGGCAGTTTCGGATTTGACATATGTATGTATATGGGTGGTGTTGTGTCTATACATACGCAATCTACATAAACCCAATTTTTAAAAAAAATTAATCAGTTTGTCTGACGATCGCAAAAGCGTGAAACCCAGGGTCACAAACTAACATAAATCCAACCAAATATATATATATATATATATATATATATCCTTTTATATTTTTCCGATATTAATTCACATTCTACGTCTTAGTGGCTTTATTGCCTTGTTTGGAGAGAAACGATTAAAATTTAAATGCAATGCCAATCGTCATCTTCTGTCTTAGTAATGTCTGTTATTTTATTGTTCTCTCTCCTTAATACCGTTTCTTTTTCCTACATTAATTCACATTCTACGTCTTTTCTGGCTTTGTTGCCTTGGGAGAAAATGATTAAAATATATATATATATATATATATATATATATATATATATATATATATATTAATCCGACTGTCAGTAATGTAAAGAAGAAAAGGCTAATATTATTTTAAAGGATCTTACTCCAGTGGCAGTGACCTACTTAGCATCAACGATGTCAGAAAGGCCACGTCTTGGAAGTACATATATAATCCTTAGTCGAAAATCCTCTGAAAAAGATAGGCCTGTAAAGTATTTACATACCTGTGTAGATATTAATAAGAAGAAAGTAAGCTCACTGTAGCTTGCATACACACGAATGCATATATGAGTGCTTATAAAAGGTTTCAGTTTCTTCCAATGCACGTTCGGTGTGCATCGATGTGATTTGCTGAAACTTTAGGAGATAAGAAAAAGAAGACGGAATGAAGAAATAAAAGAAATATGAAATGGTAAAAAGATGAATGACTCTGAAAATATTCCAAAGATTCAAGTGTATGTTTTCTACTCTTTCTTTTTCTATCTGTGTATTTAGCTGGCCTTTCTCTATTTACCGATTACGTTTTATCTGGTAGGAATATGAAAGAAAAAAATGGCGGCACGTTTCAAAATGGCGTCATTTTTTTTCCTCTCCTATTCTTCTTCTCCTTCCCTCTTCCTCTCTCTCTCTCTCTCTCTCTCTCTTTCTTTCTTTCTTTCTTTCTTTCTTTGTCTTTATCTCTGTGTTTCATATATACCTTCAAGATATGCACAACTATGGCCCACCACAGTTTCCTGTCATTTCTTACCTCCGGAAATACTCGTTGTTTTATGGTGCTTGCACTGCTAATTATTAGCTGAAACTTGTCAAATAGGTTGCTTGATATTTTCTTCTGCTTCTCTTCCCTTTGAGTGTTAATTTCGCCAAACATTCTCTTCTCGTTGTGGATCAAAATTCTGGAAATCTCTCTTTCAAAACAATATTCTTGGAGTTAGTATTCTAATATGCCGTCGTCTGAAACATGCCATGCCCATGATAGGTAAGAACAGACAGACAGATAGAGAGAGAGAGAGAGAGGGATAGAGAGATTATATACTTATTTATTTCAACCTATTTATTACTTATCTATTTATCTGTCTGTCTATTTCACTCTGCTGATGCCTTCACTCTCTCTATATATATATATATATATATATATATATATATATATATATATATATATATATATATAAAAGAACAGTAAGATATATAATCCGATATTTTTATTTTACAAAATAGTGCTCAATGTAAATTTACAGAGTATTATAAATATTTATTTAAATATGAGTTTTACACTTAACTAATAAAATAGAGTTAAAAGCCCCAATTTAATTTTGCTATTAAATTAAAAGCATTCGGGGCATTTAGCTTCTATTTTTGAAACATGGTTAGAACTGTGTAGCGGAAAAACCATATTTTTAAATCAATTAATTTATAATATATATATATATATATATATATATATATATATATATATATATATATATATATATATATATATATATATATATATATATATATATATATATATATATATATATATATATGAAAATATATATTCTTAAGGTGTGCTATATTTATGGGATAAAGTGCTCAATAGCAGAGATAGTGTGTGTAAATATAAAAAGTGAACATTGAAGTCAACACTCAAAGACAACGGGCTGTTTCATACTAGACGCAATCGTCAGGCCACAATGTGACTTCAATTTCTTGGATAAGGAAGGTGTACTTGGTTTCAGCGAAAACATATCGAAAAATACTCAAAATAGGACAAGACCAGATATCCCTAGACCAGATCTGGGGAATCAGGTAACATTGTGGCCTGACGAGCATGAAACAGCCGGTCGCCTCTAAGTGTTAACTTCAATGTTCACTTACATATATACACACACGCACACACACACACATACACACACACATATATATATATATAGATAGATAGATAGATAGATAGATAGATAGATATACTCGTTTGGAAAAATCTTAGGTATTTTGGCTTGTAAATGAACAAACCAATACCCCAAGAGAAAATAAGGGATAAAAAGAACTAAGAACCAGAATCCAAGCTCAGAGTCCAAAAAAACCTCCATATATATATATATATATATATATATATATATATATATATATAAAATATATTATAAATTAATTGATTTAAAATATGTTTTTTTCACACACAGTTCTAACCATGTTTCAATATTTTTACAAAATAGTGCTTTCTTTTCTTATATATATATATATATATATATATATATATATATATATATAATTAAGAAAAATTTTAAAGAAAATCCTACATTTTAATTTTTCAGTTATAAAATTAAATTTATTTCAGCCAATGGTTTTCAGCAGTTGGATTACATCTTCAGACCGGTTTAAATGCACCAAACACATAAAATAAAAATTATATTCCTCTCTATGATTTCTGATTTTCACACATCTCTACTAATTGTTTTCCTGGATATTCATTTCTTAGTGACTCCTCATGAGTATCCACATAATGAAAGGATTTTATAACTTAACTTGAAGAGAAAAAAAAAATAAGGCACAGTACAATAAATTTGGCATGTTGTATTTTTATACTAAATTTAAACAACACAAGGCTCGAGAATCACTCAAGATAGAATATTACTGTTAACATGGTGATAACAAATGAAATGCGTGATATGAATGAAACGGGAGGTGGTAGAAAGTGTAAAAATAAAATAAGCACCTCCCATCTCCCCTCTCGCTTGTAACCATCCATCATAATAAAATAAACGTTTTTTTTAGATGCTAAAGCTGAATTAGTAAAAAAAAAGGGTACATAAGCTTCTACTAAAAGTTGTTATTATATTAGAGAAAGTTAAGATTATGAGGATAAGGAGGATAGATAAAACCTTTGATTGAAAAGTTTATTGATAATCATGGATAACCACATGGACATTTTCTACTGAAATACTTCCGTATTATTTTATTTACATGCAGACTATTGTCCTCATCTTTGTTGTTATTATCCCAACGTTTCGGTCATTGTGTCCTCCGTCCTTCGTCAGGTACTTGTTGATTTATATGAAAATAGTGCTAAACTCTTATATAACTAATAGATCATAAATTATTTGATTAACAGCGTGTATATTAAATGGGGGATCACTTTTGTTTTATAACCAAGTTATAAACAGAACCCCCACTTTTTCTGATAGAAAATTCTATATAGGTCTCCCCTTCTATGTTTTAGTGCTTAGATGTTGCACAAGTCCGGAAGTATGGAGCACTCATATTCTTAAAGCGAAAGAGATGCGATTCAAAATATTCGACTTTGAAAATACCAGGGACTTAACATATGAACGATGAGGAAGTCTTAACGAGAATGGGAAGTACAAAAAATGATGGTGACATGTAGATAAAAAAAGAACAGCTAAAATTTGGGCTGACACATAGTGAGGAAAGAAGACTTGGAGACATTAATACGCTCATTACACATCGAAGGCATTAGATACTTTTCAGAAACTGAGCGCGGTATTACGGAATCTAAAAATGCCCAAAGAAATAAAGAAAAGTGTCCTGGACATTGTGTAATGTCAATCCTCATTATGTCCTGATCCTTTTCTCTATCGTTAATAATGTTGGCTTGTCGAAGTTAAGCAACGTCGAGTCATGTTATTACCTAAATGGGTGCGACTGTTCTATGAACTGCTATAGGACAGTGAATGTGGAACAGTTCCCTCATAAGTGGGGAGGTGTCTGGAAATGCTTAGATGTATATATAGTTTCCCTTTCGATGTGGTAGTGCTTAGATGTGGCACAAGGCCGGAAGTATGGAGCACTCATACTCTTAAAGCGAAAGAGATGCGATTCAATAGATTCGACTTTGCAAATACCATGGACATAACATATGAACAATGAGGAAGTATTAACGAGAATAGGAAGTACAAAAAATGATGTTAACCCGTAGAAAAAAAAGGACAGCTAAAATCTGGGGTGATACATAGTGAGGAAAGAAGACTTGGAGACTTTAATACGCTCATTACACATCGAAGGCATTAGGTGCTTTTTAGAAACTGAGCACAGTATTACGGAATCTAAAAATGCCCAAAGAAATAAAAAAAAGTGTCCTAGACAGTGTAATGTCAATCCTCCTATAGGGTAGTGAATGATGGACAGTTCTCTCACAGGTAGATAGTTGTCTTCAAAAACGAATGCTGGGAATGTTAGGTAATTTTCAAGTGATTTTAACTTTAACACTTTATTTAATATACAGGGATAGATTATTCTAGTTCCGCGGATCTGGTCGAGGAATATCTGGTCTTGTTGTATTTTGAGTATTTTTCGATATGTTTCCGCTGAAACCAAGTACACCTACCTTATCCTAGAAATTGAAGTCACATTGTAATACTTGAAAGAGTCATAATGGCTTCAATGACTGGGCATTGCGATGTGTGCTTGGGTTCGTTGGAAACAGGGCGAAATGGTACCGAATGGTACAAAATAAGAAAAAGATGTCTTTTCTGACTAACGTTTTCATCTTACAGGAAGTGGAAAGGATATATTAAATTAATTGCTAAGTCCGTCGCTAAGAATTGTCGCGCTGGAAATTTTTTTATTTTTTTATTTTCTCACCAGAATCAATCTTACATACTTATAAGTCTACCATTCGACCTTGCTTCGAATATCACAGCTACATCTAGCCTTGTGCTTCTGCTACATATTTATAGATTCTTGATAAAATCCAAAGAAGAGTCTGCAATCTTATTAGACCTGACCTGGCATCTCGGCTTCACTCACTTTCCCACAGCTTCCCTGTGCTCTTTCTATAAATAAAATTTCATGGTAATTTCAGCGCAGTACTAGATTGGCGGGAAGGTCTCATCATTTTACAGTTGAAAGGCTAGATGTAACCGTAAATTCTATACTAACAATTTCTTCTATCGCATTTCTCGCTTGTGGAAGACTCTTCCGACTTCTTCATTCCCTGTCAACTTTGATCTTCAAAAATTTAAATGCAATGTCAATCGTTATCTTCTGGCTTCTTAATTATTCTTCTTTTATTGTCCTCTCTCATTAATAATGTTTTTATTTTTCTCGTATTCTTTCACAATCAGTACCCACTCCCTTGCGTCTTAGTGGCTTTATTGCCTTGCTTGGAGAGCAATCGTTATCTTCTGCCTTCTAAATTCCTCTTCTTTTATTGTTCACTCTCCTTAATAATATATTTATTTTTCTCGTATTCTTTCACAATCAGTACCTCGCATTTGCGTCTTAGTGGCTTTATTGCCTTGCTTGGAGAGAAACGATTAAAATTTAAATGCAATATCAATCGTTATCGTCTGTCTTCTTAATTCTTCTTTTATTGTTCTCTCTCCTTAATAATGTTTTTCTTATATTCTTTCACATCCAGTCACCTCTTGCATCGTAGTGGCTTTATTGCCTTGCTTGGAGAGAAACGATTAAAATTTAGATGCAATGTCAATCATTATCTTCTGCCTTCTTAATTCCTGTTCTTTTATTTTTCTCTCTCCTTAATAATATTTTTTCTCATATTTTCTAACACTCGGTAGCCACTTACATCCTAGTCGCTTTCTTGCCTTGCTTGGGGTGAAATGATTTAAAAAAAAAAAGATATCCCTCAACATGGGCAATGCAATGAGAACTATCTACCCTCGTAGATTAAATAAAGGGTTCAGTTTGAAATTTTCTGATGAAGTCTGTAGAGCACAACAGTCGAAACGTTGTGATAATTATCGCAAAGATGAAGATCTGTAGTCTGAATGTAAAATAACAATAACACTTCCTCAAAGAAAACCCGCCAGAAATACGGATGCGTGCTTCATTTCTTTGCGTCTCATAGGCCCCCAACTATGGTAGTTCTGTTGGAAAGAAATACTTGCCGAGCTTTGAGCGTGCTTATCTGCAGGCATGTTGACGTCTTCAGCGTTTCTCCTTGCTCACAGCGTAGGTAACTCCCGTGATGGTCCATCACAAGACGATTTATTTTAAAGCAAAAGAAATATCACCAGACAGTCTCAACTTACCTGCAAAATAAAAATAAAAACGAAAGAAAACATTAGCCAGTGATTTATTAAAATTAATTTAATCAAAGATAAAATTTAACAAAAGAAAACTTTGCTTTTAATATTTCTGAAATGATGTATTTTAATCCTAGAACACTAACCATCAATTAAAGTTACACCATTACTAATCATGGGTATATCATACCCGATTTTGAAAATATCAAAAAGAATAGTAAATATAAATCTTTATTTGAAATATTTTACATGCAGGTACTTCAAACTTTGTACTTTGAGTTAACATTAATAGAAACTGAAAAACATTATTCAGGTAAGAAAATCAGGTACTGAAAATTGTAATTAAAAATAGGAAAATTTGCGCTGGGTACTATATACCCATGGTTAGTGTTCTAGGGTTAACTATTTACAGTATTGACATTGTTCGGATTGTTGTCTGTATCTTTCGTTCCGGCCGTTGAACTCTCCGTCCTTCTTCGGGATCTGTCTATATTTCTGAGATGAAGTATTGTAAGTATTTACATTGTTCGAACTGTAGTCCTCATCATTATTTTATCGCCCTATTCACGACGTTTCGGCCATAGTACGCACCGGCCTTCTTCAGGATCTGTCTACATTTCAGAGATGAGGCATTTTAACTATTTACATTATTTACACTGTTCGAACTGTAGTCCTCATCATTATTTTATCGCCATATTCACGACGTTTCATCCGGTTTACACTCCGGCCTTCTTCGGGATCTGTCTATATTTCTGAGATGAGGTATTGTAACTATTTATATTATTTACATTTTTCGGACTGTTGTCGTCATTATTATTTTATCGCTATATTCACGACGTTTCGGACGTTGTACGCTCCAGCCTTCTACAGGAATGAAATAGCATAATTTTGGAAACTAATCTAATTCAAGTGGAGAAATTTGGATTATCCATTCTTTCTTAATCTTCCTCTGCCTTGTACGTTTTCAGAGCCCCTTATGTGCGCTAATTTCTCCATTCGTCTCATTCTCCAGTGTGGTTACCGAGTAAGACAGACACCTTAAGATGACCGGAGAATACAACGATAGAAAAGTTGTGAGTATAACAATCAAGTTGTGGATGCAAGTCCGTGTGTAAAGGCACATAATAATATTTTCTTCATCTCTCTATATGTATGAGATGAGGTATTGTAACTATTTACATTGTTCGGACTGTTGTCGTTATCTTTATTGTCATATTCACGACGTTTCGGCCAAAGTTGTACGCTCCGGGTTCTTCAGAATTATCTACTATATTTCTTTCATGAGGTATTAGAACTAATTACACCATTTAGATCATTCGGAAGTTGTTCTCGTCTTTGTTGCCATATTCACGACGTTTCGGCGGTTGTACACTCCAGCCTTCTTCAGAATCTGTCTATATTTCTGATATGAGGCATTGTAACTATTTGCACTGTTTACATCGTTCGAACGCTTGTCCTCATCTTTATTTCCGCCTCCAAGATGTTTCGGTCGCTGTTATGGAGAGAATCCTCAAAGAAGAGTTTGTCTTTCTAAAAATATTTTTCATCTCATTTGATTTGATAGACTTTTTAGTCCCTCGGCTGCATGAATTTAAGCGCGCTGCTTGATAGGCAATTAGGTCTCAATGTTTTACCGTCGAACTAGCTGGATTCAATCGTCAGTTCTATTCTAATAGTTTCTTTGGTCGTGCCTCACCAAAACTTCATGTTATAAAAAGTATATTTAAAAATACAAAAAATACAACGAGTAATTGTGCGTTACTTATAATATATAATACAGACAACTTATAATAGGATAAATTTAGACAAATTTAATCAAAGGTGTGAGCTTCTTTTTGATGAGGAATCTTCTTCTTATTAGACCAAATTTGAAGGAAAAGAAAGTCTCGGTGAAAAGGCATAATCGGCCAAACGTTAAAGAAGATCCAGAGAGAGGGTTAAAGGGAAAAAACAGCGTCAGCACATTATCATTGATAACTCTCTTCGCCAATTTGCGAACCCTAGATACTATATGATTAATACTTGATATAACGCAAATGACATCGTAATTATAAAATTGGTTAATAATTATTTATAACTATTTATACTGGGACTCACAATGAGGACAATAGTCCGAATAATATAAATAGTATACATAATACCTCATCTCAGAAATATAGACAGATACTGAAGGGTCATAAATATGGCGACAAAGATGAGGACAATAGTCCAAATAATGTAAATAGTGTACATAATACCTCATCTCAGAAATATAGACAGATACTGAAGGGCCGAAACATTGTAATAAATATGGCAACAAAGATGAGGACAATAGTCCAAATAATGTAAATAGTGTACATAATACAAATCTCAGAAATATAGACAGATACTGAGGGCTGAATTCTTTTTGATAAATATTTATACAAAGATCAGAACAATAGTCTGAATAATGTAAAAGTGTACATAATACCTCATCTCAAGAATATAGACAGATACTGAAGGGCCAAACGTTTCCATAAATATGGCAACAAAGATGAGGACAATAGTCTGAATAATATAAATAGTGTACATAATAATTCATCTCAGAAATATAGACAGATATTGAGAAGGCCGAAACGTTGTAAAAATATGGCGACAAAGATGAGGACAATAGAAACAATAATGTAAGGAGGTGTAAATAAAAGAAAAATATCATCTCAGAAATATAGACAGATACTAAAATTTCTGGTTAAAGGCCGAAATGTTGTAATAAATATGGCGGCAAAGATGAGGACAATAGTCAGAATAATGTAAATAGTGTACTTAATACCTCATCTCAGAAATATAGACAGGTACGATTGTTGTGATCGATGAAGCATCCTCTTGGGAGCAGGTTCCACAAACTAGTGGAAAGAATGTGTGTAGTTCGCCACAATGTTCGTGACATAGCGGACCTTAGCGGTAAAAGTTAGAACTGTTTGAAGTAAGGAATGTAACTTTTCATTGGAATAGAGACAGATTAACGTGATGATTGCATGGTTTTATCTGAAAGAAAAGGATTGTATGGTGGAAAATAATACATCACAATTACAAATAATCCATAAAAATATTTTAAATTTTGAAATCGTATTTATTTATGGCATATAGATTTAAAAAAAAACAAACAAAACTGTTTCTAAATCATTGATTGTCTTTTAGTGACTGTACCTCACCCGCTATCCCTCTACCACTACACCTATGAGGCGCACTGCACCATTTGAGAACCACTATTCTAAATTAATATGGCAACCCCAGGTTGTGTTTGGGCGTGTGTGTTTGTGTGTGTGTGTGTGTGTGTGTGTGTGTGTGTGTGTGTGTGTGTGTGTGTGTTTTGATTTGTTCCTGGAACAAGAGATAATGTAAATCTTGACGTTGATTAATATTGAACAAGACAAATGTCAAAACAAAATAAAGTAAGGCTGTAATGTTTTAACAAAGGTCTTCTCTTTCCTCTCTATTCCGTATTTAAACATCATTCCACTTTGATGTTATGTGGCATGGCACAGAACCATTATATACCGTTTGTTTTCTGGTTTACTTTTTGGTTGTTTGTTTGTTTGATTTTTTTTACTATGGGAGCCCCATGCTGCTAGTTTTCTTCTTATAAAGTTTTCTCTATAAAAGTCTTTCTCTAAATCTCTCTCTCTCTCTCTCTCTCTCTCTCTCTCTCTGTCTCTATCAGTTTATTAATATCATTCTTCGATTCGTTTTTCTCTCTCGACTGTTTCGTATTTGACGAAATCACATTTTTAATTTTCATAGATGCAATGGAAATAAATGAAGAATATGTTAAGAATATTGCAACTTCCGATGTTTCGAGCCAATTTATTTGTTCAGAGGAGATAGGCCAATTCATGATGTTTTTATTGAAGAAAACACAACAGGCCTAATAGAAGAGAAGTTAGTCAAAATAACTGAAAAAACATGTCAAAAGTGATACTTATTCTAAAACTACGCAGACCGCATTTTCATGAAAAAAACTAACCTTCAGGCGTCATTCAAATTTAGCCATATAGCTATATGTTCAACTTCTACTTCTTATGGATGGCAGTTGGAATAAAAAGCAAGAGAAATGAAGATGAAAGAAATACTAATGAAAAATGAATAATAATTGCCAATGCTTCATCTAAGAAGGCTAACCAGCAGGAGTCATTCAAATTTAGCCATATAGCTATATTCTCTACTTCTACTTCTTATGGATGGCAGTTGAAATAAAAAGCAAGATAAATGAAGATGAAAGAAATACTAGTGAAAAATGAATAATAATTGACAATGCGTCATCTAAGAAGGCTAACCAGCAGGAGTCATTCAAATTTAGCCATATAGCTATATTCTCTACTTCTACTTCTTATGGATGGCAGTTGCAATAAAAAGCAAGAGAAATGAAGATGAAAGAAATACGCGTGAAAAATGAATAATAATTGACAATGCTTCATCTAAAAAGGCTAACCAACAGGAGTCATTCAAATTTAGCCATGTAGCTATATTCTCTACTTCTACTTCTTATGGATGGCAGTTGGAATAAAAAGCAAAAGAAATGAAGATGAAAGAAATACTAGTGAAAAATGAATAATAAATTTAGCAATCTATATAATAAATACGATTTTCAGTGTGTCCCTGCATCAAACTTTTTCAACCTTACTCCTAGAGGCCATTGCCCAACATATCATACCATTTTGGAATCAGGCCATTTCCATGAGCAATTAAAAAACATTTCGGGACGGATCCAGACCCCCAATCCTGAAATTTTGTTTTCCCAAGTTTTCATTTCTGCGATTGTTTTCGGCATTTTTTACGTGATTTTTTGCGACGATTTTTTTTTCTACGATAATAATTTTTATAAATTGGAAATAAATTTGGAAATAATCGAAATTAACTTCGAAATCCAGTGAAAGTCACCCATGAAATAAAAATAATTGTTTGTACAGAAAGTAAGGACCTACGTACATCAAATTGTCTTTAAATTAAGTGGAGAGCAGAAGAATTATCATTGAATTTTTAAAAGTTATGCATAAATATTAATGCTATATGTAAATGCAGCGATCAATTTTGAGTTCTTCTGTAGTTTATTGTTGCCTATCGCATAGGGCAGCAGTCTGCCTCATCAAATGAAATCTTCGCCAACAGAGGACCAAATTGTAATCAAAAGAGCCAAGGTTGCAGCAAGGAAAAGAAACTTCTATGCTAGAGAAATCCCAGATCAAATGGCAGACCGGAGAGCTTCCAATGATGAGAATATGCAAAGACTCTCAAACTCCTGAACAAGCTGAAGGCCCTATCAAGAGGTCTCTGCAGGAGCGAGCTTAAATAAAGTGGCGACAGAAGAATTAGTGTTGAACTTTTAAAAGCTAAGCTTAAATATTAATGCAATACTGAAATGCAGCGATCAATTTTGAGTTTTATTGCTGCCTTTCGCTTATGTAGCCGAATGCCTCATAAAATGAGAATATGCAAAAAGACTCTCAAACTCCTGAACAAGCTGAAGGCCCTATCAAGAGGTCTCTGCAGGGCGAGCTTAAATAAAGTGGCGACAGAAGAATTAGTGTTGAACTTTTAAAAAGCTAAGCTTAAATATTAATGCAATACTGAAATGCAGCGATCAATTTTGAGTTTTATTGCTGCCTTTTCGCTTATGGCAGCCGAATGCCTCGCAAAATGAGAATATGCAAAGACTCTCAAACTCCTGAACAAGCTGAAGGCCCTATCAAGAGGTCTCTGCAGGAGCGAGCTTAAATAAAGTGGCGACAGAAGAATTAGTGTTGAACTTTTAAAAGCTAAGCTTAAATATTAATGCAATACTGAAATGCAGCGATCAATTTTGAGTTTTATTGCTGCCTTTCGCTTATGGCAGCCGAATGCCTCGCAAAAACAGATCTCTGCCAACAGAGGACCAGAATGCAATCAAAAGAGCTAAGGTTGCAGCGAGGAAAAGAAAATTCAGTGAAAGTGAAAACCCAGATCAAATCGCAGACATTAGAGCTTCCACCAAAGCTGAGAATATGCAAAGATTAGGGACTTTCAAACTCGTGAACAAGCTGAAGGCACAACCAAGAACCCTCCGTAGGAGCTAGGTTAAATGCCGCCTGATATGGCAGCTTTTAAGCTAGGATAGGTATATTGTCTGTTTCTATTCTGCTAGTCAAAATTTAATAAAAATAATAATAATAATAATTTACACAAAAACATTACCTCCTCCTGTCTATTCCACTTACTGCCTCTCTCTTTCTCTTTCTTTATCTTCCTCTCTTTCTCTCCCTCTTGAAGTCTCTCCCTCTCTTTTTCACTTTCTCCCTCTATCTCACTCTCTCCTTCTTTCTCGCTCACTCCCTCTCTATCTTCCTCTAGATCTCTTTCTCTCACCCTCTCTTTCTCCCGCTCTTTCTGTCTCTTACTTTCTCTCCGTCTATTTCTCTCTTTCTTTCTCTCTTTCTCTCACATTCTCACCTTCTTTCTCTCTCTCCCTGTCTTTCTATCCCTTCCTCTCTCTTTCCTTCTCTCTCTCTTTCTCTAACTCTCTCTCCCTGTGTGTTTCTCTCTATCATTATTACCCCCCCTTGTCTAAAGTTTTCATTTTTATATTCGGGTTCTTCGTCAGAAACAGAAAAATGATAAACTCTTATATAACTAATAGATCATCATTATTTGATTAACAACGTTTATATTAAATGGGGGATCACTTTCGTTTTATAACCAAGTTGTAAACAGACCCCAACTTTTTCTCATAAAAAAAGTTTATATAGTTTCCCTTTCGATGTGGTAGTGCTTAGATGTGGCACAAGGCCGGAAGTATGGAGCACTCATATTCTTAAAGCGAAAGAGATGTGATTCAATATATTGGACATTTAAAATACCATGGGCATAACATATGAACAATGAGGAAGTCTTGACGAAAATAGAAAGCACAAAAAATGATGTTAACCTGTAGAAAAAAAAAAACAGTTAAAATCTGGGGTGATACATAGTGAGGAAAGAAGACTTGGAGACTTTAATACGCTCATTATGCATCGAAGGCATTAGATGCTTTTCAGAAACTGGGCACAATATTACGGAATCTAAAAATGTCCAAGGAAGTAAAGAAAAGGGTCTTGATGTTGTTCTCTATCGTTAATAATGTTGGCTTATCGAAGTTAAGCAACGTCGAGTCTTGTCATTACCTAGATGGGTGCTGTTGTGCTATGGACTGCTATGTAATGTCAACCCTCCTATAGGTTAGTGAATGTTGGACAATTCTCTCATACGTGGGGAGGTGTCTTCAAGCGAGGTTATATCACTGAATGCTGAGAATACCATAGACAAAACATTTGAACAACGAGGAAGATTGAAAGAAAATCAATATTTGATTAAAAACGTGTATATTAAGTGGGAGATCACTTTCGTTTTATAATCAAGTTATAAACAGACTCCTCATTTTTTCACATAGAAAATTCTACAAAGGTCTCCCCTTCCATGTGGCAGTGCTTAGATGTGGCACAAGGCCGGAAGTATGGAGCACTCATATTTTTAATGCGGAAGAGATGCGATTCAATAGACTCGACTTTGCAAATACCATGGACATAACATATGAACAATGAGGAAGTCTTAAAGAGAATAGGAAGTACAAAAGAAACTGCAATGTGATTAAAAACTTTGATAATTACTGAATACATAAAACAAATCTGAGTAAGTATTAGTTTCCTTTTATTTCCATTTTCTCTAAAACTTCGTCGTTGCTTACATGTTTGGTCCATGGTATCCTCAGCATCCTTCGCGTCCTGGGTATGACGATAAACTACATCCGCGTCCAGGGTAAGAGGATAAACTACGTCCAACAGCAGGGCTTTTGATCAGGAGGCTTTGAGGAGCGGGGAACCTCCTCTTAATTGCTGATGTTCCCAGGTCCACCCTGACCCGGGGTGGTGGCACTTGTTAGGGTCCCAGCTATGGGAAAATAGTTAAACCAGAAACTGAGGTAAACGCCATTATAAAAGTGTAAAAATAGGTTTAAAATACCAGAAATAATTGTAAAAAATTATTACCAGAGATAAATCTTTGAAGAAAAAAATATTACCAGCAATATGTTTTTTGAAAAAAACTATTACAAACAATACATTTTTTGAAAAAAATATTACCAGCCATACATTTTTGAAAAATAATATTACCAGCCATACATTTTTGAAAAATAATATTACCAGCTATACATTTTTGAAAAAATAATATTACCAGCTATACATTTTTGGAAAAATAATATTACCGCCTATACATTTTTAAGAAAAAAAAATTAACAGAAATAGATTTTTGACAAAACAAAAATATTACCAGGAAAAAAAAAAGAGTTGTCGGCTTTAAATGACCCATTGAGGCTGATATGTCGTAAAACAAATCAAACCCAACCAAACCTCAGCATCCTTCTGTAGAACCACATTTCTACAGCTTCTAGTCTCCTCTTCATCATTGAAGAGATCGCCCAGTACTCACTGCCATACAGGAGGACAGATATTACATTTAGTAGCTTAGTCAAAAATATAATCTTTATTAGTGTGCCACCTGGTGAGAATCGAACTAATAAAAGTAGGAAGAGGTAATGCGAGACGCGCCTTCTTAAACTCCACTACATCCTTACATATCAAATTGATCTTTTTGGGCAAAATTGGCTTGTGCGTTTTGCCCATTACTCGTTACGCTAGGGCATGCGCCCATCCCGTCTAGCCTAAGTGCCATCTAGCATTACTAATGTGGTATCAGCTTACCCAAGATCTCCTAATCTGTTTAGCTTTCACGGATTCTGGTCTCGCTAGTTGGATTTATTAGCAAAAAGACCATCAAACTTCAGCGCTTAATTACCCAACAACCATTGCTTTCACTGATGATCGTCAAAATTTCCAGGTTTTTTTTTCTTGTACTCACCGCACCCCGACCCCTGAGAAAGTTGCCCCCCCTCTTTGTTCTTGACTTTTTTCGGGTTAGTCTTCATTCGGCTTTTCATATTCTTGGCAAAGCTTCACGCTTGCATCACTGCTTTGTAAATAGGAATGCTGCCGGCTATATCTTAAATATATATCCGTACACTAGTTATATCTATCTATCTATCTATCTATCTAGAGAGAGAGAGAGAGAGAGAGATACATAGATAAATAGAGTGACAGAGAAAGAGTGAGGCAAAGAAACATTTGTGTGTTTCCTTGTGTGTGCGTGTGTATGGACGTGCGCTCTCATATATATATATATATATATATATATATATATATATATATATATATATATATCGATCTGTCTATTATATATATATATTGCGCCCAACATGAAACAACCCTATTGACTTCAATGTTCACTTTTATATTTATATACGCTCTATCTCTGATATTGAGCACTTTATCCCATAAATATAGTGTTCCAAAACTATATTTATTCATATATATATATATATATATATATATATATATATATATATATATATTCGCAGTTATTCCGTAAGTTTCCATGTCTCATCTGTTTCATTGCTTCATCTCTAAATTAA